TCGCTGCAACCTCCACTTTCTGGGTTCAAGCGATTCTCCTGCCTCAGCCTCCCAAGTAGCTGGGATTACAGGCATGCGCCACCATGCCTGGCTAATTTTATATTTTTAGTAGAGATGGGGTTACTCCATGTTGGTCAGGCTGGTCTTGAACTCCTGCGATCCACCTGCCTCAGCCTCCCAAAGTGTTGAGGTTACGGGGCATGAGCCACCACGCCCAGCCTTATATGGGATTTCTACTCCCAAGAACCCAACGTAGAAGGACATGGAGGCCTTTTCCCAGGATCATTCTCATCCAGGGCATAGGGAGAATGTCCCTCAGCCAGAGGGGACACACCCCTGCACTCAGAGTGGGGCTGCCGGACCTCTGACCAGGAGGTGGGCCACTGGCCACCTTTGTTCCAACACTAAAATTCTTCCAACAAGGAAGGCAAATCACAAATGGTACAGAAGAACCAACCCCCGTAAGTCATTCTAAGAAAGAAGTAGAGCCAGGGGTCTTGTGTAAGTTGGGGCTATGCTGGATGTGTCTCTATGCAGGTGCGTCACCTCATCAGCTGCCTCCAGCTTTGAATCGAATTGACAGAAGATCTGTTCCAGCTCCTTCCTGATGACATTTGCAAGCACGTTCAGCCGCCCTCTGGAACATACCGGAGAGTAGGGTGAGCAGAGCCTGAGGTCACGGCTTCCAGATGGCAGACGAGGGTGTTACAATCCCCTCTCCCTCCCCCAGGGCACGGCACCTCCTCGGTTTACAGCCCAAGGATAGCTGTGAACTGGAGCTAATGTGGGAACTGAGCCTGCTGGGCAATCAAGGCCATGGTAGGCAGCAGAAAGGTAGAAGGTGCAGCAACACTATGGGCCTGAGGCTTCCTTACCCTCCTCCCTCCCTATACCTTCCCTATTTTCACAGTCTTGGCCTCCTCTCCAATGTCAGGAAGCAGCCTTCTCTCCAGGTTAGACCCCAACCAGGGAACCTTGGTTTAACTTTCATAAAAATGCAATGTAAGGCCAAACGCCAGTCTGAAACTACACGTGGTTTTGGCTGTGATCATGACTTTGCAGTCTTCCAGAGGCAGGGAATGTGAGAATCGTCTGCAAAACAACACACCCTCAGGAACCAGATGAGCCCAGACTCACAACTGGCACTCAAGGAGGAAACAGCTGCTCTCAGTGCCTTTACCTGGTGCCTCCTACACAGCCCACAGAGATGGTGAGAAACCAGGTGGGGCGCGCCCTTAGCCATACCTGTGTGGCATGCCCATAATCACGTAGTCCACGCCGTTCTCACTCGACTTGTCGATGATGGTCTTGAGGGCAGGGATCAGTACCTCACAGCCTTCTAGACCAAAGCGCTTCTCAGAGGACCACTTCCGCTGTAGGAACTCCTCAAACCTGGACAGGGAACCAAGACACCTTGAAGGGCAATGTCACTCTTCCTGATCCAAAAGAGGGGGTTCTGGGCCAGGCACGGTGGCTCATGCTTGTAATCCCAGCATTCTGAGAGGCCGAGGTGGGCAGATCACCTGAGGTCAGGAGTTCGAGACTAGTCTGGCCAACATGGTGAAACCTCACCTCTACTAAAAATGTAAAAATTAGCTGGCTGTGGTGGTATGTGCCTGTAATCCCTGCTACTCAGGAGGCTGAGGCAAGAGAATCGCTTGAATGCAGGAGGCAGAGGTTACTCTGAAGGCTGACTCTACTTGCCTGGTGTCTCTTCACACATTTGCAGCTGGAGCTTTGCCTGCACCACCCCAAACCCCCTCTCACCTCGGCCAACAGGCTGCACACAGGCCCGAACAATAGAGGGTCGCTGCTTCCCTAGGAATGTCTGCCCCATGGCCCAGGGCCAGACCCATACCTGGTGGACCGTACAAGCCTGGCCAGCAGGGTCCGCTTCTCCTCATTTGTGAACTGCATGATTCCAGGGGTCTCAAACTTCTGCCGGATCCACTGGCACTGCTCCAGGTCATTGATGAACATGAACTCCACCCCAATATGCTGGCAGTAGGCCATCTATTCCATACAGAAACACACAGTCAAGGGGTTTTCTAACCAGGCCTGGCTGAATGAAGAGTGCTGACTGCCCATTCAGGCAGAAGGAGGGGATGAGCAGGAGGCTTGTTCTAAAATGTACCTCAGTCAAGTGTGACTGAGGATGGCGTGGAGTGGCTGCCAGGCAGAAGCCCTCTTCATAGGGTCATGAAGTACTTCCTTCGGGGACCTGGGTCACTTGTACACAGAGAACCTCCTAGCCTTCCAAGGGCCAGGCCAAGGAACAACCCCAGTTCTACTCTGTTACCTTTGTGGCAAGAAGCACAGACCGCAACAGTTGTAGAACTGGGTCCTTCCCCAGGGAAGACAGGCTGTCATCAAGGTCAGACCTGTACCAGCACCCATGACAGGAAATACCCAGAGGGTGTCACAGGCTCAGTAGCTGTTTAAGATTTGCAGGTTTTTAAAAAATTTTATTTATTTATTTTTTGAGGCAGGGTCTCTCTCTGTCATCGAGGCAGGAGTGCAGTAGTGCTATCAGGGCCCACTGCAGCCTCAACCTCTTGGGCTCATGTGATCTTCCTGCCTCGTGTTTTGAATTTTTTGGAGAGATGAGGTCTCAATATGTTGCCCAAGCTGGTCTTAAACTCCTGGGCTCAAATGATCCTTCTGCCTCAGGAGCAAGATTGCCCGTAAGACAAAAGTCAGGACCCTGAGCAGGTCAAGACGTCCTGCACCACATTCACACCCACAGCTAGGTGAGGAAGTAGCATCCAGATCTGCAGAGCTCAGCAGGGAGGAAGTCAGGAAGAGGAGAGGTGCCAGGAGCGGGAGGAGGCACCAGGCTCTTAGAAATTCATCTCGGGGCTAGGCGCGGTGGCTCACGCCGTAATCCCAGCACTTTGGGGGGCTGAGGCAGGCGGATCACGAGGTGAGGAGTTTGAGACCAGCCTGACCAATATGGTGAAACCCCGTCTCTACTAAAAATACAAAAATTAGCCAGGTGTGGTGGCACGTGCCTGTAGTCCCAGCTACTCAGGAGGCTGAGGCAGGAGAATCGCTTGAACCCGGGAGG